GGATTCTTTTTTTTTTTTTTGGAGTTAGAGTCTCACTCTGTCACCCAGACTGGAGTGCAGTGGCCGCTCCCAGCCATTGCAGCCTCAACCTGCTGGGCTCCGCGATCCTTCCGCCTCAGCCTTCCAAGTAACTGGAACTATAGGCGAGTGCTGACCACGCCCAGCTAATTTTTTGATTTATTGTAGCGATGAGGTCTCGCCTGCCCAGGCGGGTCTCAAACCTGCGGGCTTAGACAATCCACTCACCTCAGCCTCCCAAAGGCGTGGGATTACAGGCTGAGCCAACGAGCCCGGCTTATTAGCTCTTAAGAACCAAATTTTACATACTCAAGGGCTTAGTGACTGTGTGTGTGTTTGCATGCAGTACAATTCCTTTGTTTTTGGTTCTATACTCACTATGAAGGGGGCTATCTATATCTCCTTCATCTGTCTTGTGCTAATATTTTGCTTTATTCGTGATTGCCCCATTCCATATCTCAATCAGTAAGTAACTAGTGAAAGCTATCTGTGTCAGAGCCTGAGCTAGGCATTAGGATTGAGAGATCAATAAGAAAAGATTCCTGATCCTAGAAAATAATACAAGAGCTATATTCATAACCTAAGAGAGATGGTTTTGTGTTTGTTTTGAGTTGGGGTCTCATTCTGTCACCCAGGCTGGAGTGCAATGGCATGATCATGGCTTACCACAGCCTTGAACTCCTAGGCTCAGGCAATCCTTTCACCTCAGCCTCCAGAGTAGATAATGCTCGGCAAATTTTGTGATTTGTTGTAGAGACAAAGTCTCACTATATTTTCCAGGCTGGTCTCAAATTCCTGGGCTCAAGTAATCCTCCTGTTTTGGCCTCCCAAGTGCTGGGATTATACTCATTAGCTACCACTCCCACTAGGTGTTTGTGAAAGCATTTTATGAACTTCACTAAAGAACATTTCATAAATTGTGAGACGCAATTATTTCTCTTTGCCAGTTCTAATTCCTTATTTAGCCCCACTATAATATAATCAATTTTTCATACATTCCTAAAGTCTTTTCACTTTGCTAGACACACCACTTTGTCCACATGTTAATCGCATCTTAATCTCAAACATTCCCCCCCACCTTTTTTTTTCGAGTCAAGGTCTCACTCTGTCACCCAGGCTGGAGTGCAGTGACATGATCACAACTCACTGCAGCCTCAACTGCTGGGATCAGGTGATCCTTCTGCCTCAGCCTCCCAAGTAGTTGGAACTAAAGGCACACGCCACCACCAAATCAATTTTTAAATTTTTTGTAGAGAAAGGGTCTCGCTATGTTGCCCAGCCTGGTCTTGAACTCCTGGGTTCAAGCAATCCTCCTGCCTCAGCCCCCCAAAGTGCTGGGATTACAGGCATGAGCCACTGCACCTGGTCAACATTTCACATTTTAAAAGTAGCTTCTCCATCTCTTCAAAAGATAGCTCATCTAATCTTGATATCTTTTGATTTTCTGGTTGATCTTAAGAAGGCTTTTCACATCAACTATTCATATTTTCCCCAATATCTTCTCATCTTTACCTCTCTGTTGTAATTTACATGCTTTGTGAAATGTATAACTGAATACGTACATAAGTAAGATCTAAGTTTTAGCTGGTCATTATATTTTTACTATGTTTCCCTCAACTACCTATCCTATTAAGGATATACCATATACTTAAGCACAGTATCCACCTTTTGCTGATTATATATTATAACTCTTTAGCTTTTCAATATACAGTACCTTAAAATATATGTTTAAGCAATTTTTTCTTGTTCATGAAGCAAGTATGTAAAAAAAAAACCCGCCACATACATCTTTTTTTTTTTTTTGAGTTGGAATCTCACTCTGTCACCCAGACTGGAGTGCAATGGCTGCTCCCGGCCACCGCAGGCTTGACCTGCTGGACTCTGGCGATCCTTTCACCTCAGCCTTCCAAGTAGCTGGAACTACAGGTGCGCGCTACCACACCCGGCTAATTTTTTGATTTATTGTAGAGATGAGGTCTCGCCAAGTTGCCCAGGTGGGTCTCGAACCCACGGGCCACATACATCTTTTAAGTGTTCTAACAGTTAAATAGTAGAAATCTGTATTTGTACATTTTTAAAAAGTACAATTTAATAGCATTGTTGACAGCAAGAGCACTAATGCATAAGACACACAAACACATATACACATACAGGCCAATGCCACCAACAACAAAAAACTCAAAAAAGAGGTTAAAGTTTTTTTAATTTAGGTTTTATATACATTTCAAAGTCAGTTGGCAAGTAGCCTTACAAATAAATATATCTAGCAAACCCTAATAATAACGTATGGATGAGGTGTTCTCTTCTGAAGTACCAGAAAAACATCCAAAAAATTTTTTTAAGTTATAGAAAGCTGCCTTATGATAGAAAAGGTTGTAGCATGTTTCAGTAGTTACTATTTGAATACAATTATATAAAAACTGTTGAAGATAGGAAATATAATATTATATTTAGCAAGTTAGAACTATCTAAATTAGAAATCCTTTAAATAAAAAAAAATGTTCAGAGGATCAAAGTCTTCAAATTTTTTTTTAAAGTTGTGATATTTTCAAATTACCATCCTTGAAAATAACTCATTTTACAACCTAGCGTTTCAGCTTCATAAATAAGGGTTGTTGGTAAAACTCTAACAAAAAATATGGACTGGGTATGGACCGGGTGTGATAGCTCATGTTTATTTATTTATTTTGTTTTTGAGTTGGAGTCTCACTCCATTGCCCAGGCTGGAGTGCAATGGCACACAGGCTCATGGCCACCCCAGCGCCCACCTGCTAGGCTCCGGTGATCCTTCTGCCTCAGTCTTTTAAGTAGGCGGAACTACAGGCATGCACTACCATGCCCAGCTAATTTTTTTCATTTATTGTAGAGACAAGGTCTCGCCAAGTTGCCTGGGCTGGTCTTGAACCTGCGGGCTCAGGCAATCCACTTGCTTTGGCCTCCAAAAGTGCTGGGATTACAGGCTGAGCCACCGAGCCCGGCAGATAGCTCATGTTTATAATCCCAGCATTATGGGAGGCCAAGACTGGAAGATTGCTTGAGCCCAGGAATTTGAGACCAGCCTAGGCAACATAGCAAGAGCTCATCTCTATAAAAATTTAAAAATGAGCTGGGTGTGGTGGCGCATGCCTGTAGTTCCAGCTACTTGGGAGGTGGGCGCTGGGGTGGCCATGAAGGATTGCCTGAGTCCATGAGATTGAGGCTGCGGTGAGCTGTGATAGTGCCACTGCACTCTAGCCCTTTTTTAAAGACGCTGATTCAAAAAAAGAAAAAAAGGAGAAAAATTTATTTATTTTATACTTTAAACATAAAGAATGCTAAAATCACTTAAAGTTATGAGTAGTTTTTTTCCCAAGTCATATATATTACCTACCTCCCAGGCAACTAAATGATATATGATAGTGTGTGTGTGTGTGTGTGTGTGTGTGTGTGTGTGTGTGTGTGTGTATCTCATAGAAATTGTGCACATAAAATTATATTTAGCTAATGGTTACCTAGCCAGATATACAGTCTAAGTAGAGAAAACCAGCCTGAGCAACATGGCGAGACCTCATCTCTACAATAAATAATAATTTTTTAACTAGTCAGGCATGGTTGGTACATGCCTGTAGTTCCAGCTACTTGGGAGGCTGAGGCAGAAGGATCGCCTGAGCCCTGCAGGTTGAGGCTGCAGTTGCCAGGAGCATGTCACTGCACTCTAGCCTGGGTGACAGAATGAGACTCCAACTCAAAAAAACAAAACAAAAGTAATTTAAATTAAAAGAGTTGCTATCACAGCCTGTGATAGAAGGAAAAATTTTGCATTTTTGTAACAGACTTTTGAGATCATAAACAAAAGGCATCATATTATAGAACAGGAAGAGTAAGAGATGACTAATACAAGGAAGATAGGAATGAGATGAAACTAGAATGTGGAGAAGCAGTGCCTTTATACCTAATGACAGAAAAAATAATCTCTAGGGTAAATTTGAATGGTGAGAAGCAGAACAAAATGTTAAATCAAATTTATATTTCTTAGTCCCAATTATATACATAAAATTGCTCCACAATTATATAAAAAAATATTTTTCTTACTAAGTATGGATAGGTAATGTCTTTCACTGGGTTTAACTTTTCACATTCCCTGCTTTGCCTGTCAGGAAAAAGAAACCAGTGTCTCACAATTACCGTAGACTGATGATAATCATTGACTCTAAGACAAAGAACAAGGTATTAATCAGTTTTCATTCTTATCTCTCCTGCCACTTCTCTGCAAGGTGTTCTAAAGGACATCTATATGAAATATGAATAATTTATAAATAGTAGTTTTTAAAATTTACTGTATTGAAAAATAAGACTGACACTCATGAGACTGCCAAGAAAAAATCAGACTGCAGGCTTAAGTCTGTACAAAAATTACTGGGGACAAAGGCATATAATTTTATTCATAAATAGCAGCCAATGCACAGTTGTTTCATTTTCTCTTTCTCTCCAAGACTAATTAGCATTATACACAATACAGTCCTTGTTACAAATACCTTTGTTCAGCTTTAGAACTACAGTATCTTTTGATTACCCAAAACTCTGATCTACTTTTTCAGTAATACAGGAGCCAAACACTCTTTGCAACACTTCAGACTAACTAAATTAAAAAAGACATCTTAATAAAATAGAAACGACTATCACACATGGATGCTACATGTATACTATTCTGGCTTTGTGGATCATCATCACTTTAAAGATAAGCTGTAAACTCTAAAAGAGTACCTTTTTACATACTTACTGCTGAAAGGCAGCCATTGTGTTCTCCAAATTTTCTCCAGCACCTGTGAAAATATTAAACTTCTTTTACTTATCTATTTTGAACATTTTACTTTTCCATAAATTAATTTTAATAAGATACACCTAACGAATCTTGATTTTTTTTTGGGTAGACATTACACATGTTTTAAAGAGTGTAATAATACAGGTGAGTACCCCTTATCCAAGATGCTTGGGAGCATCTTGGATTTTGGATTTTAATTTTATAATATTTGCATATACTTAAAGACAAATCTTGGGGATGGGACCCAAGACTAAATACAAAATTTATGTTTCATATACACCTTATACACATAGCATAAAGGCGAGTTTGTACAATATTTTAAATAATTTTGTGCATGAAGCAAAGTATGTGTACACTGAACCATCAGAAAGTAAAGGAGTCACTATCTTAGTCACTCATAAGGCCAATCTGTGGTTGTTTGGCATCACCATCATTCCTGACTCCAAATTCATATGCTACTGATAAGCATTTTCTTACACTTATTCACACATTAGTACTTCACAGTAATAAATAAGGTGTACCATTAATGTAGTGAAAAAATAGCATGTTTAGGGTAACTAAGCAGCACAGTAGCATCACCAGAACACCTCTATCGGCTGTTAAATAACAGAACAAAAAACGACAGCTGAACTTCTGTTTCCACCTACAATGCTGTGTTTTGAATAAAAGGTCATTATACACTGTCTTTTATTTTTTAAGGTGAGAAGAAACATCAGAAGCAGTTAAGAGACCAGGAAGTGAGTCCTCTAGGGGTAAGGAGGCACTCTGCTGAATGGCTTTCTACCATGTTTCTTCTAGAGTCATGTGTCTGTTTATCAGTTTTTATCTTTGAAGTAAGTCTCTCTTTGATGTTATAAACTGACATGATTTATTTTTTTTTTTGAGTTGGAGTCTCACTCTGTCACCCAGACTGGAGTGTAGTGGCCGCTCCCGGCCACCGCAGCCTCGACCTGCTGGGCTCCGGCGATCCTTCTGCCTCAGCCTTCCAAGTAGCTGGAACTACAGGCATGCGCTACCACGACCAGCTAACTGTTGATTTATTGTAGAGATGAGGTCTCGCTAACTGTTGATTTATTGTAGAGAGGCAGGTCTCCAACCTGCGGCTCAGGCAATCCACTCACCTCAGCCTCCCAAAGCGTGGGATTACAGGCTGAGCCACCAAGCCCCGCTCTGCTGTGTTTACAAGGTCAACTTCACCGTCACTATTATCATGATCACTTTGATTCAGAATCTTGGCTATTTCATCATTGGTCAATGAATGAGCAACTGGAGTCTCATGATCAATGTTAAAAAATGTCCTTAGGCCAGGCACAGTGGCTCACGCCTATAATCCCAGCACTTTGGGAGGCCAAGGTGAGAGGATTGCCTGAGCCCATGGGTTTGAGATCAGTCTGGGCAACTTGGCAAGACCTCATCTCTACAGTAAATCAAAAAATTAGCTGGGCATGGTGGCAAATGCCTGTAGTTCCGGTTACTTGGAAGCTTGAGGCAGAAGGATCGCCTGAGCCCAGCAAATCATGGCTGGGGTAGCCGTAAGTGTGCCACTGTACTATAGCCTGGGTGACAGAGTAAGACTGACTCAAAATAAAAAAGTCTTTGATAACCACCTTTTTTGGTTTACTTATGAACTCTGATGGCATATTATTGGCATATGTAAGGAAATCAGACATTATTTCTTTCTCATTTTACATACAAAATCCCTTTCTTTTGCTTTTTCTTTAAAAAAAAAAATTTTTTTTTTCACATCCAGCATTATCTTACAGAATCCTTAAAAGTCATCACCTTGCTCACCATCATCACTCAACAGAGTAACAGGCCAGAGGTTGTGCCAGGCATGCACAAATGTGTCTGTATTCACTGTGTTCCAAGTATTAGCAACAGGATAGACAGCATTCTTCATGTTAAACTCCTTTTGAAAACCTTCCACACCTACACCTCTGTTCACCGCTGCTAGCACAAGAAAGTGTTTTTATGTATACTCTTCATTGATCTAAGGATACCCTGGTCACATGGAATTAATAAAGTCGTATTTAGGGGAAAGTACATGGCATAAGCATTATTTTTGAAGAGAATTTCAACTGGTAGATGAGCAGAACGGCTGTAAAGGAATAACAAAAACTTGCAGGTGTCATCCAGTCTAACTGTCCATTAGTAAGCACAGCTGCTGTTTATGAGATCAATCAGAAAAGATGTTCCTGGTAATCCATGGCTTTTTGTTAGCATAATGGACTGGTAAGAAATTCATTCCTTGAAAGCAGCAAGGACGGAAGTTGTTGCCTATTACAGCAAGTTTACACTTACATAAGCCTGCCGCATTGGCACATCCTGGCACAGTTATCCTGTCCTTGACAGCCTTAATTTCTGTTTCATCATTGTCTTTCTGAGACAATAATGCCAAAACAGTGATATTTCATTAGCATTATAGACTTGTTCTGGCATCAGATTTTCTTCAGCAATTACCTTGGCAAACTCGTCAATAAATTTCTCCACTACTTTGTGGTCAGCAGATGCTTAATATCACAAATCTTTTATTTTATTTTTTCCCAGTCACCCCTCACAAATCTTTTAAAATGTAATGAGGCTGGGTACGGTGGCTCATGCCTATAATCCCACCACTGTGGAAGGCTGAGGTGAGAGGACTGCCTGAGCCTCCTGGTTCAAGAACAGCATGGGCAACTTGGTGAGACCTCACCTTTATAATAAATCAAGAAATTACCTGGGCTTGGTGGGGTATGCCTGTAGTCCTAGCTACTTGGAAGGCTGAGGTGGAAGGACAGCCTGAGCCCAGGAGGTCGAGGCTGCGGTAGCCATGAGTATGCCACCGCACTCCAGCCTGGGTGACAGAGGGAGACTCCAATTCGAAAAATAACAAAATAAAATAAAATATAATGATGCCGACACAGTGGCCCATGCCTGTGATCCCAGCATCTTGGGAGGCGGAGGCAAGAGGATTGCTTGAGCCCAGAGTTCGAGACCAGCCCAGGCAACTTGGCAAGATCTCGTTTCTAAAATTAAACAAACAAACAAACAAAAACTAGCTTGGTGTGGTGGTGCGTGCTTGTAGTTCCAGCTACTTGGAAGGTTGAGGTGGAATAATTGCCTGAGCCCAGCAGGTAGAGGGTGTGGTGGCCGTGAGCGTTCCATTATGCTCCAGCACAGGCAACAGTAAGACTCTGACTAACAAAAAAAAAGGTAATATGTTTGCCCTTATATTTCTGCTACCAGCCTGCTGAATATTCACAGTTCCTTTCCATTTTCAGCTCACCATAATAGATCTTTGCTTGTTGCATGATCAGCATGCCATTGAGTGGCATGTGTTTGCTGACATACTGATGGATTCACTCTTTGAGTGAATTGAGATTTTTATTTTTAGCTTAATGCAGTGTTTTCCCATTTTTCATTAACTTCTGTTCATCACTTTCAGCAAAGAATTTCAACAGTTTATCCTTCTATTTCTTTTTTTTCTTTTTTTTTGTTTTTGAGTTGGAGTCTCACTCTGTCGCCCAGACTGGAGTGCAGTGGCCGCTCCCTGCCCCTGCAGCCTCGACCTGCTGGGCTCCAGTGATCCTTCCGCCTCAGCCTTCCAAGTAGCTGGAACTACAGGCATGTGCTACCACGCCCGGCTAATTTTTTTCTGATTTATTGTAGAGATGTGGTCTCGCCAAGTTGTCCAGGCAAGTCTCGAACCCGCAGGCTCAGGCAATCCACTCACCTCAGCCTCCCAAAACACGGGAATACAGGCTGAGCCATCGAGCCCGGCATCCTTCTATTTCTTAAGGTCATATGTGATGGTCATTTCAACATCATACTCTTCTGTAAGATATTTCACACTTACACCGCTGTCTAGTTTCTCAAACAGCTTGACTTTCTATGCTATAGGTAAACATAAGTGCTTCCTCTTTTCCTTATCACTGTTACAGTGGTATCCGAAGGCCCTTTTGACATTTTCAACAATATCTTTACACCACAGAGCAGAAAATAAACAAAAACAAACAACAAAAACAATGAGTAATGTATGCAGATCTTGGTGCTATGTGAGGTATCATGAAGAATCTGCTATTGGCGCAACCAGCCTGTACACATGCCATTTTATTACTCTTTATGGACATGCTTGCATGGGGGAATCTAGGCATACTCAGAAAAGATATACTGCAACTAAAGGGGGACAGGAGGATCCTTTTTTCCCTTGGGGTTGCTGAACAAACTGTGTGTTGGCTGTCTTTTTGTTTGCAACTTGTTATGTGAGGTCAGGTGTGAAATTTTCCACATGTGGCTTCATGCCGGTGCTCAAAACGTTTCAGATTTTGGAGCATTTCAGATTTTGGACTGTTGAATTAGAGAAACTCAATCTGTATTTAGAATTGATTTTTAGGCCAGGCGCAGTGGCTCAAGCCTGTAATCCTAGCACTTTGAGAGGCTAAGGCAAGAGGATTGCCTAAGCTCAGGGGTTTGAGACCAGCCTGGGCAACTTGGTGAGACCTCGTCTCCAAAATAAATTAAAAAAAATAAGCCAAGTGTTGTAGCACGCAACTGTAGTTCCAGCTACTTGGAAGGCTGAGGTGGAAAGATTGCCTGAGCCCCGCCAGTCGAGGCTGCTGTGGTTGTGAGGGTGCCACTGTACACCAGCCTGGGCAACAGTGAGACACGGACTCAAAAACAGAATTGTTTTTTAGTTGTACCAGTAAGAATCAAAGAACAAAACAGCCATATCAATGCAGGAGGCTTAGAAGAAACTAAACATGATTTTTATGCTATAATATTTGCTTATCTGTCAAAGGAAAAACAGAAGAGGACTTAGTACACATATGGGGTGGACTAAAAAGAATGGAATTTATCAAAAACTGTGTGTTCTTACATGTTTAAACTTCAGTCACCCTCAAAGTACTCTGTTTGATGCAATACACCTATAAGATGCTTCTTACACTGCTCAAATCAGTTTTTGAACTCTGTCAAGTATGATGCCTTTTAGTACTTCTGCTGTTTTTTGTTTCACCTTTTCCA